TTCCACAGCATCACACGTTGAGGGAAGATCATCTAACACATTACCCTCAGCCATCCTAGGTTGCAGGGTAACATAACCAAACGTGGCGTAGCGTCAGATTTTAGCGTTTGTAGGATTCCTGGTTTGGTAAAAGACCAGCTGGACCGTCATGTTTGTTTTGGTTGTATTTACCCAGAATGCCCTGCGCTGTTGTTCGCTTCCTACTTTTGGAGCGGTTCCTGTCCGCTTGGTGTTTCTATGCATTCGAACGGCACCAGAGTTCACTTGAACCGAACTGAGAGTGGTTGGTAGGCGGACCAGAACCCCCGAAACGAACTGGACTCTCCAGGCAAATGAACTTCAGCTTAAAGCTGAACAGGGTGTGAAAGCACCCTTAACACCACAATTAGGTATTTTCTATTAGTTCCCCTGGATTTTATTTATAGGCATCAGCATAAATGCATAACCTTCCATATTTTTATTTGGAAAACCATGAATCCAAATTAGCTTAAACGCTATAATCCGGTACAGTGGGTCAAATGCTGACATTTATTATACATGGTCTCTTTTTAAATGAAGTTTATTATCATCCATTTTCTTCCACTTTGCGCTTTATTTAATACTTTGTGTTAGTGTAGCTCATAAATCCCAATAAAATACACCAACATTCATACTTCTTCAGAGTTTAAACTTAACAGTCTCTATAAACAGCGTTAGTTTCCTGGACTCATTCTGTTTTCTGCAGTAAGGTGCATGAAGACTGAATTCCCAGCCAGAACCCTGGAAGAATCTTTTTCTCCATGGTGGTCGTGACTCGGTGCAGCAGCCTGACCTCCCGCTCCGCGCCGTCGCCGGCTACAGCGTAGAAGTTTATGATCCCGGCCGGCTGGTCGACATACATGCCGATCCTGGAGCAGAACGGGACGTCGCTGATGTCTTCGTGGTCGCAGTCGAACCAGATCTGGTAACAGCTGCCCGACCAGCACAAACCCCAGGACTGCTCGTTTTCCCCCAGGCCGCTCATCCCAGAATACGCTCTCCTCGCTGCTTGGTCGTACGAAGCGCCGACCGCCACCCAGCCAGAAAACTCAACCTCCCAGTAAGCCCTGCGCTTCCAAATGCTCTCCTTGCACAACACCTGAAAGTAACAGAATAAACTTCAGCTACATTTAGCTTATTGACCAGGAAAAACTCCTGTTAGTTCATTACTTAACAAGAATCAAACATGGAGAATCAACATTTAACTTTATACTTAGCAACCCAGAACAGCTGGAACCAACCCGTTCTGACTCACCTGGGGAGAATATTCGAATCTCTCCGGTCCGTCCAGCACAGGACAAACCTCTTTGGTTCTGCGGCAAACCTTCGACCCGCCGTCAGAAATCCACAACAGCTTATTGGCTGTTTTATTATCCAAAGTCAGATTAATCCAATCTAGACAAGAGAAAGAAAGTTACTTTGTTTTTCTTCTTACAAACAATAAAACTAAAGTTAAAAATGTTACATTTCATCAGCTCAGCTCTGCTTCTGGGCTCTGGAATATCTGGTGAATAAAATCTCTCTGCACAGGAAGACAGAAAACAGCATAAAGAACGAATCATAATAATCGTAATAGTTTCACATCTGATGGTTTTCTTTTACCTTCATTTGTTGTTTCATCCTTTTTGGATTTACTTAATTTCCCTGCAAAGCGTGAAAATAACAGCTGCTGAAATAAGATTCCTGCCCAAAATGAAATCTTAAACATGAACAAAGCAGACAAACAAAAGAAAAGGCTTTAAATCATTTTCCTGAGTTTCTTACCTGGTTTGGTTTTGTCAGGGAGGATTGCTGCAGAACTGGGTTCCCTCTGCATCTCAATCTACATCCAAACTAAATCACCAAGAGAGAGAAAGTGGTGATTGTTTGTCTTCTGGTTTAGTTCTCAGGACAGCTGATGGAGCGTTCAGGAGATGTGTTGGTTAGAGGAACGAGGGATCAGTCTGACACATGCCTGACCTGACATGCAGAGGAAGACTAATGTTGACATCCGACCTCAATGAAACATAAGAACTGAAAAGAACTTCACTGGAAGCAAGATGGAGGCAGGATGGATCAACGTTGTCAGCAGCAGCCTGTTCCGAACAAGGTGGGGACAGCGTGAACCGCCAACGCCTGCAGTGTTCGTAAAAACCATCTTCCTGCTTGTTTTTTTTTCGTAGTCACAGTTAAACACAATTTAAAGGTTCAGTCCTTTAAATTAAAAGGTTGTTGTTTTGTAGATTGATTTGATTCTAGTCTCATTATTATTTTGTATTAGTTTCTTATTTTGGTTAGATCAGTCTAGTTCAGTCCTCATTACTGATTCTAGCTTATTATATTTATTTATTGTGTCTAATTATTTTTCCTCACTACTTTAATTGTGTTTAGTGTTTTACTGTTGGATTCATCTTTTAGTTCCCTGTGTACCTTTTGCTCTCCTCAGTCAGTTTGCTCACCAGCTCAGGTCCGTTATTTTCAGCCTCCCAGTATTTCAGTGCCTCTTTCTCAGTCACTCCTTGCTGGTTCCTCCCATTTCTTCCCGTCTGTGTCTTGTACTCCTGGATCTCCTTGTTGGGTTTTTCACGTTGGACTACTTTTTGTTTCTACCTTGGCTCTCTGTTTTGAGATTTACAAAAGAATCTCATCAACTTTTCACTTCTGCTGCTCTTGCATTTGGGTCCGACTTTAAAACTGCACCTCAGGACAAAGGTGTCCTCTTTTGTTGTAGTGACCATGTTAGTAATCAGAGTAAAACAGACGTTTGGTGGTATGTGATTTATTTAAACTTTTGCATTCAAACAACATTGGAGAAAACACAATTATCTGAAACAAAACATATTGGTACCGACATAGAGCGGTTAAAAAACTCCTGATGAGTTTCTTAGTGTGTTGTTTTATGTTTCTCCCTTTACTTCTGTTTTTAAAGATTCGGCCAAGGTGCAACCATCACATCTACTATTCTATAAAAGGCTTTGAGTTTATGTGACGAAACTCCCTGCAGTATCAATAAAAACAACAAAACTATTTTTTTTTCTAACTTTCAGAGATTCTTACTAAATAAAAAAAAATAATTCACTCTGCAGTCTTTACAAAGTTGCTTCTTAAGTGTACTTTGTTCATTTTACCAGTATGTAAAATAGCATTTAACGAGAAGCATAAACCAAATATATTCTCTATGAATTGGACCCCTGGTTTTCCCAAGCAGGTTTCTTCAAACTCTATGACAAAGAAAGTGAATTTTGGACTTACTTTACAAGAAAAAATCTGCAAAAAGAGAGTAAATCTATGAATATTGAACCATAAACAGGTGAGGCTCCACTGAGTATATTTAGTTTGCTACACTTTATTTAAACAAATCTAGTTTCAAGGTTGGCAAACTTTTAAAAAAGAATAATTTCAATAAGGTTCATGCAGCAGCTCTTACTTGTCCTGAATTCGGTTTTACTCCCTGTTAGGTCTGATTTTCTGATCTACTCCTCCCTCTGCAGGATCAGGCAGTAGGAGTTTGTTCCCACCCAGAATCCTGGCAGCAGCTTCTGCTGGAAGCAGCTCCTGACCTGGTGCAAAAGTTTCACCTCCTTCCTGACTACGCCTTCCTCTTCCTCCTCTTCAACAGCGTAGAAGCTCAGTAAGCCAGCAGGCTGGTCAGCGTAAACGCCGACGGTGGCGTGATGGGGAATCCCGTTGATCTCTTCCTTCTGGCCCTGGTGCCAGACTTGGTAGCCGGAGCCGCTCCACTCCAGGCCCCAGGATTCGTGGTTCTCTCCGAAGCCGCAGGGCCCTTCGCTGTTCCTCCGTCCCGCTCGTTCAAACGCAACTCCGATCACGACCCATCCAGACGACCGCACCTCCCAGTATCCTCGGAAACCCGCGATGCCCTCCCTGCAGAGAACCTGTTGGAGAACAGAACCAGTTACATCAAATGAAGGGACTCGGCGTTCGTCGTTTCACCCGATTTTAGGTCTGAACACTAATCACATCTGCAAACATTTGAGCTGCATTTAGTTGTGTCTACTGTCTTCTACGCTTAAAGTCAGATAAACTTAGTGAGTTTTAGATTTTGAACCTAAATGTGAGTTTGTGAAAGATAAACTTACAGCAGTAAGTTGTATTAACTTTTTATTAAGAGTTGAATAAACAGAGTTTTTAGGTTTGCACTTTAAAAACTGAAAGAAGAAAAAGTCAGGAGTGGGAACTATTTCCCAGAATGCTTAGCGGTGTGTTTCTGTCTCCTGAGATGGAAGTGTGTTACGTTGATCTGACTCTTGTTCTGTTCACACTAAATGTTTCTGAGCTGAATTCATTCAGATGTTAAATAAAATTCATCATCAGATCAGAAATTTGGTTCATGTGATTTGAAACAAGAAGTTAAATTATTCTACAGTAAAATAAGTCGTTATTTTAACTTAATAAAATAACAGAGAAATGTGGCTCTTTAACTGGGTGAGGACAGTTTGTTTTTCTTGCATTTTGTGAAATAATTATTTGGTTTAAATTGCAGCATTAAGTAAAAACTCACAATTCAAGATTAATGAACTTAAAAACAAAGTTTAGACAACTTGTCTCCTGTTGTTAAATCAACTTCATGAACTTTAACTTATGAGTTAAAACCAAAACTATTTTCTTGTTGACTTAAATTAAATTTTCCAGGCAGCAGGTGGACTTTTATTTTCACGTTAAACCTTCCAATGTTTTACAGTGCATGTTTTACCTGTGGGGTGTACTCGTATCGCTCTGGTCGGTCTAACACAGGACATGTGATGTCATCAGTCATACGGGCGACTTTAGCGCCACCATCAGTGATCCACAGCATCTTATTGGCTGTTCTGTCATCCAAAGTCAGGTTGACCCAGTCTGAAACAAAGGGAACGAACAATAACTGAAATATTTCATACTACCTTCTGAATTAGTAAAAGGTCTGACTATATTTATGTGTATTTTTGTAAAGAACAGCCAATGAAAACAACTTATATTAAAAAATCACAGCTGTTTGCTTTATGCATAATGTCTGCTCAAAGCTTCTTCAGATTTAATAAATATGTTGTCTCAATTTTTTATGTAAGTTACAAGTTCAGTTAATGCTTTTTACATCAAAATAATTTATAATTCTTCTGTTTTACAATACGTAGCAAAACCTCTACCTGCAGAAACCTGACATTATTCCTCCAGTTGGATGCTGTCGTTTAAATAATATAAAAGGTAAAACAGTTTTCTCTATTATTTTGAAAGGCATCAGCTGTAATGTTTGAGTTTGCATGTATTTGGTGCAGAATGCTTCCTGTATCCAGTGCCGTTACAAGAATAAAGGCGATGGCACCGCGTTATGGGTTCCTCCTTATGTTTTTATATTTTAAACATTTTCTTACGTTTGATAAGATCAGCTCGACATTTTGGTTCTGGAATATTTGGCTCGTAGTCGGGGACCTTTGCTAAAAAAATACAGAAGAAAAAGAGAGATGAATTTGCAAAAATAGCGTTTTTTATTTTAACATCGTAACATTAACTCTGCTTACCTGTAGGTGTGTTTCCAGCTTTGGATTTCTTTGCTGAAGAAACTAAGAAACACGAAAATACAAAATAAATTCAGTCAGATCAGCCGGTGATGAGCTCATGTTCTTCAGAAGTCAGACATGCACTGTAAAACATACATCAGAAGATGGTTTAACTTGAAAATGAAAGTCCACCTGCTGCATTGAAAATACAATTTAGCTCAACTTTGATTTTAACTCAGAAATTAAAGTTCATGAAGTTGATTTAACACCAAGAGTCAAGTTGTCCAAACATTATTAAGTTAATTAATGTTGAATTGTGAGTTTTAACTTACTGCTGCAATTTAAACCAAATAATTATTTTATCGGATTTATTACCCAGTTAAAGAGCCACATTTCTCTGTTATTTTATTCACAATATCAAGTTAAAATAACTTATTTTACTGTAAAATAATTTAAATTCTTGTTTCAAATCACATGAACCAAATTTCTGATCTGATGATGAATTTTATTAAACATCTGAATGAATTCAGCTCAGAAACATTTAGTGTGAACAGACATTAGCAACTAAATGCAGCTCAGATGTTTTCCAGCGTATTTTGACTTAAAAAGTCGTATTCTTCCTCCAGGCAGTTGGTTCCAGGTGGTTAAAGATTCACCTCACATGTTTTAGCGGCTCAAAGCTCAGAGCAGATTATCAGAGGAGATGAATGATACGATTTGTTTGTACAAATCAGATAAGCCACGCAACCTGATCCAGCAACTGTGAATGTTTTGTAAATAACAACTGGAGACTTCTGGGAAATTTTCCAAAAATATCAATCCTAAATAAGCACAAGCTGCTGTAATATAAACTGTAAGTCACAATTAAATCTTCCCTTTAAGTAGGAGATGAAGTAATAGATCCTACTGTCATTACCAATACTTTGATCTTACAGATAAATGTTTTTTTTTTTTTAATTATGTAGATCAAGATGAACCCTTAACGCTCTTAGCATTAAGTTGTCAAAACTGGCACACGTTGTTACGGAGTAACAGTTCCCACATTTAATCATCTCAGAACATTAAGTCTAGCTAAGATGAATTATTGGTATGAAATTTAAGAATGAATATGACATAATAAATCCTTCACAGTACAACGTGTCACACTTTTACAGCAGAAAGTTTGTCACATTAGGGTTGAATCTGTTTGCTGATTGGAGGCAGGAGAGGCTGGCAGGACGAACACCTGCCTGGACGCAGCAGCAGGGGATGAAAACAACACATTTAGACGTCCTCATTGCAACCCAACACCAACCTAAATGCTTGCGCCTGAACGTTGCCACCGTCTCAACTTCTATGAGACCTTTTGATCTCATTTACTGACAAGTGTCTGAGACCTTGAAGTGTTTCAGTGAGTCATGAGTGTATGTATATATACATATGTACCCATAAACCAGTAAGCCGTGTCCTCGTTATCTAAGGTGTAAATTTAGATATACCTTGTCAACATGGGAAATACAAGAGAACATGCAATTCAAGTAAGGGAGAGATGTGTTTTCTGGAAATGTCTACAAGAAAATAGTTCCTCAGGGTTTGGTTTTGGGTCCTCCATCTTTGCTTTATAATGATTAGTGGTTGAGTTCCATCCTTTATTTATTTAGATATGTTATTAGTTTCAGTTTTGCCTCATATGGTGTGCCTAAATGTAATGTGAGTTATTTATACAACTTTTCCAATAACTGACTCTCATTCAGCGGTGAATTTTCCCCAACAGATTCGTATTTTGCAGTAGTGCAGCGAAATAGCCAATCGTGTGTGTGCTAGGGAAAAAATTATAAATATTTGGCCAATCAGCATTACTCAGTACAATGTTTTTAGGGTGCACCAAAAAAAAAAAAAAAAAAAAAAGGGTTGGGGGGAGTTTTTAATTGCTATGGGGATAAATGCAAAATTCTCCATGTTGGATTTTAAAGACAGCAGATTTACTTTATCTTCTGTTGTCCACGTGTTTACTTAGTTTTAGCTGTTATATGATTATTTTTTTTCTTCTGCTGTGTAGTTTTCATTAATAGTTGATCTTTGGTGATAGTTGTGAACATTGCTGTGGAGTGGATGACGTCACGCTCGCCTGAACTCCGCCCACTCCGCCATGACAGACGTCAAAACAACCAATGCGCTCCTTTAAAGCCTGTCAAAAAACAGGCATCTGTTACCTAATATCGTTTCTATTTAGTTGATTTCACTTTAAAATGGTCACAGGGTGCTCAACGGTCGGCTGCACGAACAGACAAGGATAAAAACCAAACTTGTCATTTTACTGAACAACTTTTAATGAGGAAAGATGCGGCGGCGAAGGACAGCAGCTGTTAATCATAACGACTGTTAACCTCGGTGTCATCGCGGATTTGGAGCGAAGGCTTTTAACAAGGTAAGAAGATTAATGTTCATGTACTTTATAAGTATGATGAGAAAGATATCAAATATTGCTTCATGGAGAAGGCGCATCTAACCACTGGTAACCATGGAGACAATGCCGCACCGTCATGTAGCCTAGCATGTGAAAAACTGGTTAGCATCTCCTCTTTTGAACGTTTCGATGTTGCCCCGGTGTAAAAGGCTGTTTATGACGTTGTGACATAAATCATGTGGTGTGAATTCAGGCAAAGTCAGTAATTTGATGAACACATCAGGAGGAAAGAGGTACGGGTCGGTTTCTAAGCTAGCCGTTTCCAACTTTTGTAAACACCGCCGTCTGTGAGCCCCGACCAGGTGAGTTCAGAGACAAATTAGCTCGACTCGAACAAGTAGAAGCCACGAATAAACTGGCAAAAACAACCGAGGAAAACACTTTCCTCTGTTTCCTCTGTTCAATACTCCCGTCCCTCACTTCCGACGTCCATCTTTTTTTCCCCCGACGTCCATCATGCCGCCTCGAATGATTTAGTGACGTAGCTGCAAAGAGTCTATGGTTAGCATGATGCTAATGCTGTTCTCGATAAATGTTCCTAAGATTATTTTTTTTAATTTTTAACGATGATGATGCTCCTATCAGTTTTTGTTTATTAATAATATTGGTGAGATAATGTTAATGTTTGGCTAATTTAAAGATGTTTCTTGGTAAGATGTGTTGTTGCAAAGCGGAGCTGAAATTCTGTTTGCTGACTCAGATTTATGGACATTCATATGTGATTGTCCTGTTAAATTGCTTCCCACAGGATCTGATAACTCCTTCAGGTTTGTTTGCAATCATGTTTATTTCATCCTGTAAAAATGTGTTTTAGTTTTCTTCTGTTTGGTGCCATCAGTTGATTTTCAAAAGTTCAGTTTTGATAGGATTTAATCAATTATTTGCATATATTTACATTTATAGGAAATCATACATTAGTTTGGCATTTTTCACATTTTAAAGTCTGACTTATTGTTACTGTTGCAGTTGACAAAGATTAATGATTAAATTCTTTTTCAAAGTTACTGAACAAACCTTTTACTTCTAGCTTATTTAGCAATTTATGCTATTTTTGACCATTTAACTCCTGAACTAGAAGACTAGGGAGGGAACAATGGCATTGTAATCGACTGTACACTCAAAATATTACTATCATACAGCAAAGAGTGTTAAATCTTTTTAACAGGATGATGCTGCTGCTTGCTGCCAGGTAGTAAAACTCTTCTCCGCCCTCTCATAATGACAGGCATGAAATCGCTAATTGAATTGCTGAGCTTTACATGCAGACATAAACTCCAGTGACCCAGAAGATAATAAACCTCACAATTCATTTAATGCTGTATTAGATGAAGTAAACCTTAGTAATGATCCAAATATTTACCTGAATATTTATGTGAAGTCATGCATTGATCTTTTTACTGTATAAAATGGTGGAAAGGAAGCTCACCTTTATCTGAGTTTTGGGTTTCAGAGATGATTCTGTTGGTGGTCGGCATCTTTACAGAAGATCCTGAAGGAGACTGACTGAATTATGATGAGTTTCCTTTAGCTCGACCCTGCAGCAGCTTAATGCTGCCCATATATACCTGTAAAGGCATGCAGAGGTTAAGCAGACGGAGGCGGTTCTTACCAATAGGAAGAGGAAGGGAGGAGATTTGTGAACTAAAGAGGTTTTTTACCTTTAAAAGTTGTAGATGGAGGCAATGCTTTCACCAAGGAAGCCCCGCCTCCTTCCCTCTGCTGAACCGACGACCTCAACACACTGCACACAGATGTTGGTGTGCAAGAACACACACTACACGCCTAAACACACAACTATACACATGCATAGACTTCCATGCAAATTCTGATCCATGAATCTTGGAGGCGTTCCTGGTGTCACACATAAAGCAACGTGAGCTCCAAGTGATGTAACTAGAACTTAACAAGAACCTCATTGTGTCACTTTATCTACTACTTTAAAATATTTAAAAAACTAAATTTTTGTCTTTTAATTTAACTTTCTCTCACTGAACAGAAACAAAACTGAAGTTTTTATCTGTGGACCTAAAGAGGAACAATCTAGAGTGAACATCCAGCTTCAGTTATTACAGCTGGAAACTAGAGAACAGGATGAAATCTCTGTGTAGTGATGAACTCTGTCCTCAACATCCAGAGCCACATAAAGGCAGTTACAAAGTCAGCCTTTCATCACCTGAAGAGAAACTCAACCATATGTTTATCTTTAGTCACACTGATTACTGCAGCAGAGTCTTCACAGGTTAAAAAATCAGTCAGATCCAGAACGCTGCTGCTGGCATTCTGACTGAAACCAGGAAGACGGAGAACATCACCCGGTTCTACAGTCTACTGAGAGAGCAGACTGTAAAACACTGATGTTAGTTTATAAATCACTGAACGGCTTAAAGATCTGCTGCTGCTGTGTCAACCTTCCAGACTTCTCTGGTTCTGGCTCTGGTTCTGCTCTGCATCCAGAACCAGAACCAAGGAGCATTCAGCTTCTGTTTACCATGAATCTGGAACAAACTTCCAGAAAACTGCAAAACAGCTGAAACACCGAGTTCCTCTAAATCAAGGCTAAAAATCAGCAGAGTTACGTAAAGTGGAAAATTGATCAACATATTTGATGTGTATAAATTTGATTATGAATTTTGACAAAACTTGATGTTTATTGCTTCACGTTCTTATGATGTAAAGGCCTTTGAACGGCCATGTTGTTGAAATGTGCTGCACAAGTTAACTTGAATGATGTCAGAGATTACCACTTGGTTTTTAATACATTCTGGTGTATTAACTGTGCGAAAGTACAACACATGTCAGTTTTTACTTTAAATAATTACTCCTCTGTGTAGTTAAGTTCACCCTACATACTTTGTTTATTGATTGTAGGTTCCCGATATAAATACCTGCTTTATCATGGCATCAGTTACCAGATCCCTCGGATCATGCAGCGCGGTGAAATGAAAGGCCTGCGCCGGCCCATAAACCCGCTCTGAGCTTCGCTCTGCAGGCCGGGTGTCGGAGGTGTTTACTGTTGTTGGCCCTGAGCCCAACCTCATGGCATGCTGCTGCATCCTTCTAGTGTTCCTGCAGCAGAAGCACCAAGCAGAACATACCAGACACGTTACAGTATCAGGCCCGGTTTCTAGGAGCCTGACTGTAAGGAGCAGCGATGGGGACGGGGTCTGCGTGTGAGGGGTTCATTTCCACCCATTCATATCTCACCAGGGAGCGTGAAGTGATGACAGACCGGCAGGCGAAGCCACATGTTGACTTTGCTTTGTCCGCTTAGTAAGACGTAAGATTTTTTTGTCATTATGTTTCTAGAACGTAACGACACTGGAGTGGTACCAGTGATGTAACTGGAAGTAAAGAAAAACTTTTACTGCTTGAAAATATTTAAAAAGTGCATACACTGTAAAACATTAGAAGGTGGTTTAACTTGAAAATGAAAGTCCACCTGCTGGCTGGAAAATGACATTTAAGTCAACAAGAAAATAGTTTTGGTTTTAACTCATAAATTAAAGTTCATGAAGTTGATTTAGCAACAAGAGACAAGTTGTCTGAACTTTGTTTTTAAGTTCATTAATCTTGAATTGTGAGTTTTAACTTAATGCTGCAATTTAAACCAAATAATTATTTCACAAAATGCAAGAAAAAAAACTGTCCCAGTTAAAGAACCAAATTTCTCTGTTATTTCATTCACAATATGAAGTTAAAATAACGACTTATTTTACTGTAGAATAATTTAAATTCTTGTTTCAAATCACATGAACCAAATTTCTGATCTGATGATGAATTTTATGAAACATCTGAATGAATTCAGCTCAGAAACATTTAGTGTGAACAGATCAATGTAACACACTTCCATCTCAGGAGACAAAAACACGCCGCTAAGCATTCTGGGAAATAGTTCCCGCTCCTGTCTTTTTCTTCTTTCAGTTTTTTAAGTGCTAACCTAAAAACTCTGTTTATTCAACTCTTGGAGGTTTGGCAAAAAATGAATAAAAAGTTAAAACTGCTGCAAGTTTATCTTCCACAAACTCAAACATTTAGGGTCAAAATCTAAAACTCACCAAATTTATTTGACTTAACAAGTAGAAGACAGTAGACACAACGAAATGCAGCTCAGGTGTTTTACAGTGTACTTATGTTTCCATTTAATGTTCTCCAGCTGAGCAGAAACAAAACTGAAGTTAATTTTATTATCTGTGGACCTAAAGAGGATCGATCCAGAGCCAACGCACAGCTTCAGTAATTACAGCTGGAAACTAAACCAAAAATATAAGATTTATTTATTTTTTTTACATTGTAGAAACTCAACTTCTGTTATTTGGATCCGATCATCTTTAATGAACCAACAGTCTTTAGTTTTGTTCTGAGTGTCATTTTATTCCTTCATCCATTTTCCAGACAGTAGATTAATCTGTAAATAGATGCAGCAGCTGATCGCAGAGAACGCTTCAGATCTTCTGGGAACTGAAATCTGCCTATAAACGGGCAGGAGGAAGGAAAAACAAACCTGTTTTTCATAAAAACACACAGAACTTCTTACTAAATCCATTCAAACACATGAAGAAGACACTTTTTTTAGAATTGGGTTTAGTTTCTGTGACATCCTGAGCTGTGATTTAGAGGTTTAGGTTTGCAGCGATTCATCATCACTGCCACGCGGCGCGTTCAGACTGCATCACACGCAGCTGCTCTGGATCTTTCATTCTTCACCCTCCATGTCGGCAGCATGAAGCAGATCCACAGGATCAAGCTGGTGACAGAGGAGGAGATCCTGAGCTGGACCACATGCATGCAAATAAACAGAGGAGAGCAGGAAATACTGGGAACACTTTGACAACTCGGCTTCAGCTTCCTCTTCATTCGATAACCGTCCACAAACTCAGAAATCTGCAGAAGAAAAAACAACATTTTAGAGTATTTAGTTAAATCCTAAAGGCTTTTTCTGCTTTATGTTCTGCTCAGGGAAAACAGAATGTGTTGTTAAAAGACAATTTAAGATATTTTATTGATGTTTGGAACAAACAGAAAACAAACCCTTTCGACATTTTGTTCATTACAAATCTGTTTAATATAATTTCAGAAAATATTATCTGCTTTTTTAATCCTTAAACCTATTTCTACTGAAGACAAAGCTCCAATTAAAGATCCTGGATTCAATTATTTATTCTCATTATAAATTCTAAATTATGATATGTAGATCTTTGGAAAAACTCCTCTAAAACGTATTAAATAAAACACACGTAGTGTACAGTTATTTGAAATACATCTATAGATCTATAGTTAAACTAAAGGAATAATGAAGCAGACTTATTCAGGTGCAATAAGGAGATGGTGATAAAAAGGTTTTATCTCTGCTGCCCTCTAGTGTAGGAAGGCTGAACCACAGGAGGCGGTCATAATGAGAAAACTATTAACGTCTCTGCGGCTTTTCTTCCGGCGTGTTTTACACAATAAAATCAGATATAATAAATATTTACATCTAAGGCTGTCATGGACTTTAAAAGTCATTAAACTTTGTATTAAATCGTGTTGAGAGAATGTTTCTTTCCCATGGATGTTGCAGTCTGTTGCTTAGCAGCAGCAGAGTCAGTGTGTTAATAAATATTGTTAAATATATTGTTTAATGCTCATATCATCAATTTCTCTTTACAACTCCTGATTAAAACATATTTTGATTTTTCGACATTTCTAAACTTAAAATTGGTAGTAAATAATTTAGCTGTGATGATAACTATGGAGAGCAATTTCAGCCAAAATTAAATCAATGAATAAATAAATAAATAAATAAATAAATAGTCATTTGCATCTTTATTCCTATTTATATTTATTTACTTACACATTTATTTATTTTATTTATTTATTTATTTTATCCATTTTCCTTATTCATTTATCCTTTATCAGCTCTTTATCCTTTATCAGTGTCGCTTTTTACAAATAAAAAAGTACATGATGATACATTTATTTTTTATTTAAAGTCAACATCATAGTTGGCTAAATATAAACAATATTTAAACGTCATTTTGGGATTTTCAACGTTTTTTTAATTCAACATAACTTTATTTTTTTATTCCGACTTTAAACAATTTGAATAAGCAGGTGTAGAAAATCTGACCCAAATTAATTTATCTACAAATCGTATGTCAGAGTTATGCTGCATTTACTGCGCCTTGGAAATATGAAGCTCACACTTTTTCTCTCTTGCAGTTTGATTTTCTAAAAAAGAAATTCTAAAAAAAAACATTATATATATATATATATATATATATATATATATTAAATAAAAATGTCCTACAACATACAGGAAATAAAAGCTCAGGATTTAATATAACCACAAGATGGCGCCGTTAGACCATTCGATAAAAACAAAATATGGTCAAAGTTCCTTAAGAAAACAAAGATATTGACTAATTTCATCTCTTTTTGACTAAGATTTATTTTTATTGTGTATAAAATTTATAAAATAATACAACAAAAAGTATCCAAAGAGAAAAAGTCACTGAACAATGATGTCAGCTGGTCATTCATGTTCAGCTCATTGATCAGTTGCGTAACACCAAGCTGTTGGGTGTAAGTTTATCCATCTGATTACAAAAGAGCAGAACAACCTTCTGGTGTTTCTGAATTCATCTGAGTGAAAAGAGCAGCAGAGAGCCTCATCTTCTCTGCAAGTCAGAAAGTTTACCATAAATAGCAGCTTTCCTGCGCTGGCCGGAGGTCCAGCTGCACGGATTCCTGCAGCAAAGGCAGGAAAATCTGTTCAACAAGCTCATTTTGTTAGCTGGAATGCAAAGCTTTCATTTTCTGTCGCAAAAAGCAAATAACAAACCGTATCTGTGAGTGCCTTTGACGTTTTCTCTCTGTGAAAGTCCCCAGACATTTATACTCCCCCTTCCAATTCAATTCCCTTATCAGATTGTCGCACCGCGTTTGGAGCGGCTGGTAAACCTTTCAAATTTATTACACCAAAACTCTCAGACAACACAGTCAGACTGTCTCATGGCAGACATTACAAACAAATCTTCTTCAAGCTTGATAAGCAGTCAGTCTAAGTATTTGTTTTGTCAGACTTTATAAAAGATGAGGCGGCAGCGGTGTCAAACTCGCTTCTGTTTGGGGCCAAATCAAGATCATGAATGCTCTTAAAGGGCCNGTTGTGCCAGAATGTATTGGTAAAACCTGTTCACAATCTGTTAAAATATCAATTAATTCTAAAAATTAAATATTATTAAACATCTTTTCAGTCCCTCCAGGATTTTGTGATTCTTTGTAATAAAAATCAAAGTGTTTGTGGTACTAATTTGAAAATATTTGCAATATTTGCTCTTATTTATGACGGTAAATGTGACCTTAGATCATGGACTATAACCTGACATTAATTAAAGCTCGGGCAGCTGTTTAGTACAAGTAAGAAAGTTTTTGAGAAAAATCTGTAATAAACCCCAATTAGTGCAAAAAAGTGTGGAGATTTGTTGATTTTCATGAATTTACACGATAAATCTCAAGAAACTCGAGCGACTGATTGATATAATTTGGCAGTAAACAGATAAAAACTGCATTGATTTTATTGATAACATGATATTTAAGCTCATTTAGTGTTTCATCTAGAATCTAGACGACCACATAAAAAGCTTCGGCGGGCCGGATTTGGCCCACGGACCTTCAGTCTGACACATGTAGCATGAAGGAATAAAAGACAAAAAACTTTCCTTCAACTTCACAACATGAATTAATAAATGGTCACATTAAAAAATACTTCAAAGTTTGTAGTTTTAATGTAACTAAACGGGAATAAACTCAAAGCTTCTGCAAACTTTAGCAAGGAACCAGAGGAACAGTTTGAGTAACGGAAACAAGTCGACCTCTGCAGCTTTATTAAAATGAAAGGTAGAAAAATGAAGGCAGCTTAGCTGCACTAATGAGAAGCATTTGTAGGTGAGCGACTCCAGCTCCGGCGCAGTGTGCTCATTACAGCGGCTCGGCTTTGTTTGGTTCACAGCTGTGCAGCGCGTCTGCTTTTTTCTAAAACAAGAACTCTGCATCAGCCAGATTTCTTGCTATGCAAAGCAAATTCTCAGCGAAATTCAAGTGAAATTAATGAAAGCTCAGATTCTGGATCATCACCGACTAATCGCATTAGATGCACCGGATGCAGACCTCAGGAGAGTCGGGTTGTAAACGCAGGCCTCATGTTCCTGAACAACATACAAGTTATAATCATGAACTGAAGACTCATCACTATCATTACATTTATTCCTACACTGCAAAACCACAAAATCTTAAACTATTATGAAGATTTAGCACTAGAAATGTTTTTGTTTAGTTTCTAGTTTCTACACTGTGTTAAGACAACTTGTCTCTTGTTGTTAAATCAACTTCACGAACTTTAATTTCTGAATTAAAACCAAAATAATTTTCTCTTTGACTTAAATTGCAGCAGGTGAAGTTTCATTTTCAAGTGAAACCATCTTCAAATGTCTTACAGTGTATTACACTGGGAATATGACAAGGCTAACTTACAAGTAACTTTTCATAGGAGTTTGTTTAAAGCCACTAATTCATTAATAATCTAGATTTTCATTTCATGACAATAATTTGTTCCCATATATGAATTAATCTGCCTGTGGAAATACTGGCCTAAAACAAGCTCCTACATCTTGATGAAAAGTTAGCTTTGTCTTATTTGGAGATATTTGCACTATAAAACAGACCAGAAGTGGTCTGTTAAACTTGTTAAGTTTTGGTTTTTGCAGTGTAGCTGCTGCATGAGTTAGAAACCTTCATCATGGTTATTTTTAAAATGTGTGCTTCACCGGTTGCCACCTCGCTGTGCAAATGAGTGCACTCAGCTATGCTTTATTGAGAGAAGCCTGCAGTGAACGATCGATATCCATTCTGCTTACACACTAAATGTATGAAAAAAACAGAAGGAGCCTCTTTTCTCAGCACGAGGAGCCATAAACGATCTGACTGGATAACGTACAGCTCAACTTTGTTCAAACTGTTTCCCGTCCTCCTTCTGGTGGTTTTGGGCCGCGGCTTTCTTGTAGTCCTCGTCCACCAGCATTCCTGCACCATTCTCAGGTTCACACTTTGACCCTCGTCTCTGCTGTGGCTCCAGCTGATGCATGCACATTGCTGGTAAATCATGGGGCTGCTGGAACCGGGAGCCTAATTAAGACAGGCCCACTACTGGACCTGGACCCCCCACTGGGAGGTCAGTGGAAGAGGAGACGGACTTCTGCTGCAGGTGATATTACAGGGTGCAGAGTTACTAGCATTGGCTAGCTGACTGTTCACACCACGTCTGCTGTAAAACGGACCTCCAGATGCCCGTTCTGTCTCACAGGACCTCAGAATCACTCTGCCATCTGGGAAGTGATACAGAAGCACAAAGTTCAGTTTGTTGCCACAAGCTGCCAACACATATATTATCTCTTTTCTTTTGGATACTAAACGAATGCACAACATTCTTTTGCATGATATCAGATGCATATGACAATGCTGGAAGATTCAGCTTCAAAGATTGTTTTTGTGGAGCCATTTAATTAAGTAAAGGAGATCTTTACTTATTTCCTTGAACAGTTAGATTAGGTCTATGTTTGTTACATTTTTGCATGAAACCATTCTTAGATAATGAGATTTTAATCTGCTCAGTTTCAGTTGATCTCCTTTCAGACTGAGCCTTTTTAGGGTGTCTTGTCACTTTAAATCTAAATAAGCTGCTGCTGGCCACGCCCCCCAATTCAACATTTAGACTCCCATGTGAAAATGGCTGCCAACAGATGCACAATTATACAACCGTACATCTTTGAAAAGCAGAAGCGTAGCCTCCTGTACAACCAACAAGAAAGCAGGAAGTGGTTTCTGGATGGTAAATCAACAACAAAACACTTGTTTTCCAGCAGCCATTGTGCAGCGCATATAACGGTAAAGCCAGCTGACCAAACATGGAGGAGCTCAGCTTGGGTTGCTAGGTGACGGGCTAGGCTTTGTTGAGGTTGCTAGGTAACGGTGCAGTCCCTGCAGATTTGTGACGCTACAGTCCAGACACCTAAAAACATTAGCGCAATTATTCCTGGGGTTGTTTTCTTTTTTTGGAAGCTGTAGAAATCCAAATTGAAATACAAAAATGTGCAAAATTAGTCATAATGCATAATGGGTTTCATGACTGGTTTGTCTCTTTATTGTGCAAACTTCAGGTGTCTACGGCAGGCTGGTTTAGCATAAAATTGGCTTCATCTGGCTACCTGCAGTTACATTCTAGATATCTAAGAAATAGTTTGCAATTAGTACGATCCTCAGATCTTTTGAATTTTAGTTTACTTTATTTTCTTCTTTGATCATTTATTTTCTTACATCTTGCTATTTTGGTTTATTGTTTGTTAGTTCAGTTACTCTCATTGGTTGTGTTTTGAGATTAATATTCATTTTTGTTAATTATAAAGGTTTCCTTTCCTCTCTGTGTTTGAACTGATTCACCTGTGATTAGTTCTTCTGGTTCCTGTGTATTTTCTGTTCCCGTCTATTTAAGCCTCCTGGTTTCATTAATCCACTGGTTTCTTGCTAATCTGCTAATCTCATGCAATAATCTCCCTGTTCCAGAGTTTCCCTCTGCATTTTCTTTATTGGAAGTTTCTGTGTCATTTTTATCTCTTCATTAAAACGTTTCATCTGACGGTTTGCTGCACTTTGGTCCTCCGTTCCACACCAAACATGACTTATTCTGATAATTAAAAGGAAAAATTCAAGATGCATTCAGTTACATTTTGAAGTAAATGATGCCACCGGATTCAGGTCAAACATCCTCAGTTAAAGCTCAACACATCTCAAACTCTATGCCTTTCAAAATTACATTTTTAAATGTCTGAATTAAGAAACTATAATCCCCCAGTGCTGTCACAGTGGGAAGGAGGTGATAAGTAAATGGCAGCGGTGGACAGTTCAAGTTTCTTCTTGGTGAATTTTATTTTTGGACTTCTTAACCTCCCAGTAGCCAAAATCTTATTGGTTTTATACAGAACTGGAAACAAACCTGGGTTTCATTAGTCTGTACCACTAGAAAATATAACAGATTTATAACAAGAAGCAAGATTGGTTGTTTTTACCCTTTTTAAGCGGAATTGTCATTTGAAAACAGTTTTTTTTGTGGTTTCTAATGATCTAAAATGCTGAAGAGTGACTGAAACAAGTACAAAGGAGAGGGAATTTAATAAAGACTAAACCTTTTTACATTAGGTTTCTTTCTGAATTTCTCATAAAACCATAAAGCAACATGAAGACAAATGTGAAAGTATAAAAACCCATTTAGAATATTATGAATAAATTAGATTTTTCTCTTTTCTCCTCTTTTAATCAGGAATCAGAATCACCTGCACAACACAGGGGGCAGCGACTCCCAAATTAATGAGCAACATAAAACTTTTAGGGCACTTTACTTCAAGCTCTTGAGCCACCCCCAACAAGATGCTGCCCTGGGCAGTGAGCCACATTAAAAACGTTCAACTGTTCATGTCAAAATGACTGGAGATTTGGTGGCAGCATTTATTAAATGAACCGAACAACATTTCTGTTAGCGTCTGTGCTAGCTACTGTTATAATGTAAAAGTGCTATTTCCGTGAGCCGCCAGTAGAGGGAGCTACAGCACAACAACCTCACTGCCTCAGCTAAAACATTTGATGCTAAAAATAATGTTCTTTCAATCCAGTCACACATTAACATGACTAAGAAAATACGTAGAAAATTTAAAAACACACTAATAGGGCTTAACGTAGAAATAAACAGATCTTTACCAGGATCTGAAATGATAAAAATCCAACATTAATGTAGAAAAACGAATAAAGCCCAGATGGGAAAGTGTTTGAAAACGTAAATAACCTCCAGCTCGACCTTGGCTTCAGACTTTCTTTATGTCGTCCCCTGAAAATGTTGCATATGAAAATTTTAAGGTTGTCAGATGGATTTCTCTTCTTCTGTTACATGATGTATGCGAACATTTCGAATACGTTTAATGCATAATGAAAAAAGGCATTAAAGCTCCTACTTTTCTCATATCAAAAATTCAACAAATCCAAGCGAGAAAAGTCCCAGAAACTGGAGCCTGTTGGGTTTTTATTTGTCTGTTTGGTGGATTTTTGTGCTCATCCGTCTAAATCTGTAGCTCCCTTTTCACAGGGAGCAACGTGTCTGTTGAAGTATTGCATTTATTTGCAAAGACTTGTTGATCCAGCTCTTAATGCCAGTGTAAGGGGAGTTAATTGAAAGATTAGTCTGGCAGTTAAAGTTGACGCTCCTCTCGGTGGTTTCTGCGTTCTTCTGAAGGATTTTAAAGCCTGACAGATTTACCCAGCCTATTAAATCCTTGGTTCTGTAAATCTGCGAGACCCTTTTCACCACTACCTCACCGCATTGTCTCCTGCTCCCGCTCTGACTGCTTCTCGTCTTGAACTCCTCAAGGGCGTCATCAGTCTCTGCAGACCTCGTTGCTCACTGAAGGGTGTGGGGGGACTTGAGTTCCAGGGAAGCTTTGAATAACACAGAGAGGGGAGAAATAAAAGGAATAAGCCCCACAAGCCCTCAGTCATCCAGCAGAAAAGAGGAGACGCAGGAATAACCATGCCTGAGCCAGTCCCTGAAGGTATGCAGATACTTGTTATAACAGCATAATTTATCCTAATTACAGACAAAGACGTGGCTAAGTCACAGTGTTGATGCTTGAATTTAAATGCCCTGCTCTGGTTTGACGTTTAAAATACACGATGCTGATCGTTTCTAAAGCATGTTGTGAAATAAGTGGAATCATCTCAAATATTTATGTGAGAAAAGCAAGTTTAAAGCGTTCACTTATGAAAACAAGCTAAGAGCTGCTATGGTTGTGTTGTTTTGGGAGAAAACGTGGATTGTTTGTACTTATTACAGTCAAACTGTCTGCAGCAAGTAACAAACTTTAGAGTATTTAATTCCCCAAGTTAGACCTCAAAATAAAAAAAGACATTTGTTACAGTGAAATCCCTCATTTTGTAGATGTTGGAGAAAATGGAGAAAAGTGAATTAATGATGCAAAAACAAGAAAAACTTTTCTTCTTGTTGCAAGTACAGGAAATTAAATTACTTCTAGACTTTAAGTTTATAAATGTAGTTTTAGGTGCCGTAACTGTCACCCATCCACCTGCTGTGACATCATCGTTGTGTATTTGTGAAAGACACCAGAGTCATCCTCGCTGTCATTTACTGTGTTAGTAACTCTTACATGCTGCAGCTTATTTGCTCTGAGCTCTCAGGGACTCGGGTTCATGTTTCAGTTTCTGCCTCAGTGCATCGCATACAGAACACACATTACGGCTATTTCAATGTTTTTAGTCTTTTATGTTGCATTCAAGTATTTTGCAATTTTTAACTAAAAGGTACTTCTAAGACGTTTTCCGTATGTGCTGCCCTTCTCCAAGCCCACATGAACTAAAATAAGCTCATTAAAGGCGTTACTAGCATCCAAATGACCTGGGTTCCTTATGCTACTTTACAATATTTAACTATTTGTAGCAAAAATAAAACTGAACATTTCTTTTGTTGACCTAGCAGCTACTCAACTCAGTTCAGCTAAACAAAACTGAAACACAAAGCTTGCAATTAAATAAAGACAAATTACGACTGAGGAAGGCAGTAAGTTTAAGTTTCCCAAAGACTTTATGAGCTTCAGTTCTTAAAGACAAAAGGTCTGACCATACTCTGAGAGAACTGATGCATTTATTCAAACCCAAACTGTGGGCAGAACACCCGCGTCAAGCTGGACTGGTAGCCAACAACTAACATGTGAATTAATGCGGAAACGCAGAAATGTTCAAAGTTCTGCTTTTGTCTGAGAAATGTTTTCTCTTTCCTGGTGATGCAGGAACCAAATGACATGACGTTGTAACATAATGCCACATTGGGAAGGACTTCCTAAAGGTCCGCACTTCAGTTCTTGTGAAATATGAAAAGTCCTAACAAAAAGGAAAAGTGTTCTTCCCGAGTAAAAAACTAGAAAAAGAAATTTAAAGCTTTATTTTGCATAGTTTGTAAAATCTTGGACAGAACCGTTTTTTCCCACTTCGTACCTTCTTGTGTTCCTAAGTTCTTGTATATACGGACCCTGAGCTACCTAAAGCACTTAGCTAATTTGAATTGGCTCTAGTTTCCTACAGCTAGTTTGAGCTATATTACAAGTTATCAAACTTAAGTTTTCTAAACACTCTGCTAAGTAACGTATTCTAAAGACTTGCATATCTTGTAGCTTGGGTTTTCTAAAGACTTAGCTTGTTTGAGTTCCCTTAAGAGTTGCTAACATTCAGCTGGTTATGAGCAGATCCCACTTTTGGTTGTTAAATAAATAACTTCATGGGAGCCTTAAGTTGGGTCCCAGATAACCTACGACCTTCCCACTGTAAAGCTTGTTTGCCAAAAGTGTCTGGTTATACAAGTCAGATATGAAGGTAAAAAATATTGACGATACAATCCTCCTCATGCAGCTCACTTCCTGAGACTCCACACCCGATAGGCTGCAGTTGCTAAAAGTGGATCACTATTAAGAGAATTTAAAAACTCACTGTCTTGGAACTTCAGTGCCGAACTAATTTAGATCTTAGGAGGCAATCAAAGTCCAGGAGTTAATTTTCCAGTCAGCTTAGTTAAATTACAATTTGATTCAGAGCTGTGAACATTTCATTTCTCAAACTTTGGGCTTACTATTTCTTATCTACTAGAAAAGTTGAAGCAAAATCTGAGCTGCTTCAGTCAATAGCAGCCTGATCCCGCCCCTCAACTAATTGCTAAAAATACTCTGGAATAAGCAGTGACCTCTCACACGTTTTTTCCCCCATGTGATTTCATCGGGTTTCACCCCACCCCAGTGTATCGGGTTTTGCCTTTCCACTTTGCTGTGCCGGTGGAGATAAATCATGGCGTAATCTGCCAATTTTAACCAGAAAGTTCCTCCTCGGTCAGCAGCCTGATGCGCCGTTCTGGATTTGGCTCGGCTCCAAGGCAGTCCATCAAACACAAGACAGTTTTCTAGTCAATGGTTGGAGGCGATGCTGTGATTCATGATCATAATTCCCTTCATCACTGTGTGCTGATGAAACACTATGAGAGTAAATTGAACCATAACTGCTCCGTGAAGTTTTTCCAGTCCCTCAGCGCCGTTTATCTTTGTCTGGATACAAGAACCTTGACTTGAAATGATGACATGATTAATTCTCTCTTTGTCAATGAATAATGGCGTCTTTAAAAAACTGTTACGAACACTATCTGTCACTGCGAAATCAATGAGGAAACGACGTACAATAAACCGAAACTGAACAGGAAACTCCGACCCTGAGTGGCAGCTCTCTGATGAGCTGCTTTTAAAAATAAAAGTTCCCTGAAAAGCGCATTATTTATTGTGTAATGTTAAGACAAACTTTAAAAAAATATGAAAAACTGAATATATAAATTATGTAGATTTCAGTCTAGATGTAAGTTTTCATTTAAAATGTTCACACAACTGGGATCCTGCAGAAAACAGAAATAATCTAAAAGTGTTGATAATGGCTGGTATGAAATTGATAAATAATTCCTGTTAAATTCTGCCGTGGTCATAATGTATCCTCAGAAGAAGTGGATTTGGCATGGCTTAGTAAATGAGAAAAAAATGTGTTATGGTATCTGTGGCTGAGATGCAGCCATAAACCCAGCGTGTCTTTATGTCCGCGTCGTTAATGACGCTGTAAATCAGATTGTCAGAGTCAAATATAGAAATGTAAACAAACGGCGAGGTGAAGAGCTGATCGGATTCTTTTACGCAGAAAAGAAAACATGAACCTTAACGAAAAGCTCCTTCACATCCCCAAACAACGTTTTTTGTAGAAGGAAACTAATTTGTGGTTATTTAAAAAAAATAAAATCAGAAAAGTGTCAGCCCTCCAAAATTTGATATTTATGGTGCTCATAAACCTCTAATGCCCAAATAAGATCTGTATTTATGCAGAGATTAAATTACACTTGAGGGGTTTCTGAAGGCTGCTGATTTTATTTAGGAGCATCCAAGTAAAAGTGACACGTAAAATCTCAGTGGAGTACTGTAGCATCACAAAGTGTTAAAAAACTTTAACAAAAGCAGAAAAGTTCCCCCTATAAAAGAACAAAATTTGCAGCCCTCTCTTCAGTATTTGTGTATTTTGCAGACTTGACCTACATAGCATTAAAAATTGGACTAATTATGAGTCTTGCACCGTTCTGCACATGGAACCTCTGAGGGTCTCTGAGGGAAACGTTTAAACTGTGAGAAACAGCTGTGCAGAAGTTGATTACCAGGCTTCATCCCAAACTTGTTGAAGATGATCAAGACCCTCGCCTCCTCCGGCGGATTACACCAGCAGATGCTGATGCAGATTTACCTCCATGCAGGTGTTGTGTCCTCTAACGGCCTCTCAGAAGTTTGTTCAGCACTCCGAGTCGAGTAGCATTTTGTTTTTGAACGTGTCGGTTGATGTTCTCATTTAAAAAGGAAAAAAGCCGCAAGCAAACCACGATAACAGCTGTTAGCAAAATGCTACGAGGAGTAACGGTTCTCATCTAAGACGGAAAATAACCTAGCTAACAACCGTTAGCATAATGCTACGAGGAGTAACGGTTCTCATCTAAGACGGAAAATAACCTAGCTAACAACCGTTAGCATAATGCTACGAGGAGTAACGGTTCTCATCTAAGACGGAAAATAACCAAGCCCCGGCAAAAAAATTGGAATTGCCAAAATAACGGAATTGGGTCACTTCAGGCTGCAATGTGAACGCACCCTAAGATGGCTACTTTTGTAAATCCCGCCGTCTACGAGCCCCAACCAGGTGTGTTACGTTCACAGACAAATTAGTTAAACTCAAACACGTAGAAGTCATGAATAAACTGGCAAAAACAACTTGGTAAAACAATCTCAGTCGCTCTGTTCAATTCTCCCGTCCCTCACTTCTGACGTCCATCATGGCGCCTCGAATGACTTTCTGACGTAGCTGCAAAGGTCAATGGAATTTTTAGTGAATTTTTCTGTTTAAATCCATGTTTGACCTATTTTGCTTTTGCATCTTGTGGTGCATTTCTATCCTAAAGATACAAAACATCACAAATGAGATATTAACATACATGGAAAAATCTTACCAGAAAGACTTGCACTGCCAAATGAACTGACCAGTACATTATTGCGAGACAAACCTATTGATAGTAACGCAAAAGAAAAGAAATCCCTCCTACAAGGGGCAATGGTTTGGTTTTTCATTCCTGCTGCGAGACGTGAAGCTCTTATGGTTAACTTGGCTTACTATTCAAGGAAAGTGCGTGCAGCTTGGGAGAACGTGGCCTGGCTTCAGGGAGGTCATAAGATACCGTCCCTGGCCTTTAAGAGCCACTGAAGTGACCCCCACTGAGACACTCGGGGAGCCTGGGGTAGATCATACGCCTCTATTTCAGTTGAGAATTTTCTT